TGAGATCTTTTATGGTGAAAATTGACAAGGGTACTGGTATAATTTCCTTTGTACCTATATAGGTCTTAGAACATCAGTGATGATGGTGTGTTGCTGGTAGTCTCATATACTGCTGTGCAATAACTAATCAGTAACAGTGAAATTTCTTGAGTCCACATTTTCTGACGTTCATCCACACACATGGATATTTAATTTAGCAGTATGTGGTTGTATCTCTTTATCATGCAATCAGAAGATAAATGAAAGATTGTGTTCTTGGTCTTTTTAACTCCAAAGAACCAATACAAACAAGTCTAATTCAAAGTTCCGTCCTTGTTAAAGTTGTACCTCTACAGTTACTGGAACCATCTTGATATTTGGCCTTCTGGATCACAAAAATTCACCATCAACTTCAGTGCTGCATGATCTGACTGGAGCATAAACTTTTGTTCATGTTAATAATTATGGAAGTGACCTCCTTTCCGTGGCACTAATACGTTGAACTTGTAATAAAACTGCTTTCACTGCAAAATCCTTGACACATCTGACTAATATAAGTGGAACTTCTGGATTTGGATATGCTGATAACAGAGTAGTGGTCAATTCCTTCTTCATTTTATGAATGCTTGTCTTCAATTAGGTGCCCAACCAAAATTTATTTGGCTTCTCAAATAATTTGTGAGTTAATCTTTAGCAGTGGATAGGTATCCTATTTTTGTAACATCATTCACCTTCCTTTCTTGTGTGTCCATCTTTCTTCTTCACAAGTACAACATGTAATGCCCATGGATAGTTTTATCAGTCCCTATTCATTCAGGGATTTTATGTCTTTGAAAGCCTCTATCATTTTGCAAGTTGAAGTCGTCTAATTGACATATTGAACCTGCATCTCCAGTGTCAATCTCGTAAGATATTTTACTTGATTGTTCTAAATCATGAGGTCTAGTGGGGAAAGTGCCTTGAAATTATGTGAGCAAGTCATGTCGTCCATTGCATTGATCAGCTGTCAATCATCCACAACTTTGGTTATACAGCTCTTGCAAATGAGGTGGTCAGCAGTCCTTATGTGAGAATTTGACATTAAACTTCCTACTTCTTGCCTCAAAAGTGACTACTTCTGATGTTCTTTTATGTAGAAGTACTACCTGTACATCTTCACATTTTGAATGCAGAATTCAAATTTGACAGATTTTTTTATGGTCCTCTCTGTTCATGGTCCTAATGATGACTCAATATTCTCCAGATTCATGAAAATTTTTACAATCCTGAATCCATTAGAGCACGCTGGAGTTTATAGTTCTATGAGGGTTTAGTCAGCAGATGTAAATTTTTTGCTATTAAGTCCTGGCATGAGGATTTCTTTTCTTGATAAAACAATGAGTGCCCTCCTTGTTGTCACTGAATATTTAACCTCTGGTATAGTGATTGTCATGTAGTGCACAGAATTTTTCTGACCATAGACTGTGAAGCTATTTGAAACTAGCCTAATTTGCAACCATATATCTATATGGAGTCAGTTCCCAATATTTACTCTTCCTTGATGTCAATCACCTACACATAACTAGGTATAATGAAGTTTTCTACAGAAACAGTGACTTCCAACATTCATGTTTCTTGAATTTTATGTCCACTTGTTGTTTACTTCAATCTGTCATTTTTCTTCTTCCTTGTAGGCAATTTTCCACCTTTCATTACCACATCGGGTCAAAATATTCTAACTGTAGAACCAGTGTTGATCAGAATACTTCCCATAAATAAACTCATGCACTCATGATTTATTTAATTAACGAACTTCTTATCTCAGTTAGACCACATGGGATATTCTCAGCCGCATTTCGCTCCATAAATTCAGCTACTCCTTGTTTTCTAATGTCTGATTAGCTCTTTGTTGATTATTTGATCTGGTTGGGTTCTGAGACTTATTCTTAAGATAATCTCTCCTTCACTTATTAAGAATACACATTCATGGAACACAGCTGATTCAAAGTTATGGCCTTGATCAGAATGCAGTTCGTATGGCATACCAAACCTGAAAAAGAAATCACTAATAGGCGAAGCTACAGTTGTAGCTTCCTGATTTGGTATTGCATATGCCTCAGACCACTTGGTGAAATAATCCATCACCACAGAAATGTACCTGTTTCTAGCACGAGTTTGGGGAAATAGACCAGCAATGTCAATGGATACTCTTTCCATTGGTGCACCAACTTGATATAACTTCATTGGAGCATGTCCCTTAT